AACATGTTTTGATAGATCTAAACCCTCCCTTATTATGGCATGGACATGGTAATTCCAAACAACATATTATTGAATAAGTATATTAATGCATTAGTATCTTTTAAATTTAAAATTTTACTGGCTACAGAGCAACTTAGAATTGACTTTTTAGAGAAACAAATTGTTTTTTATTCATACTCAAAAAAGTGCAATTAAATATTTAGGGTCAATTTTGGTTTTCACTATTTGTGGTTATTAACATCTTGAATTTAAAAAAAAACATTCCAGTTCATCATGATGGCTTGGCGCAAATTTATCTCAGAAACATTGAGTTAAATAATGCATCTCGAAGTGTCCACTCTTTCCAAGAAAATCATTATTCTTCAAAAAATTACTCCGAGTAAAAAATTCCAAGTAGGACTCCAAGAAATGGTCACGCCAGGTCGCCAATTATTCTTTTTGATTGTCAATGTCCAAGTTTGAGAAAACCTGATATCACCATATTTTTGTTATGTATGTAAGTCTGGTAACTTTAGAAAGATGTAAACTTGCTTCAGATAGTTATTCAAACTACAGTTGGATTAATAAAAGTCCTTAATTTGTACTAGTGGATTTATTACCATGGATTTGTACTTAGGTTTATTTAGGAATATATAAATATAAACTTCAATTATCAGGCCAAATTACAGTGATTTAATTTTGGTGGATTGAATAAAATTACACAATTTCAATTACATTTATACAAGGCTTGAGCATGTCTTCAGAAGGAATTACTTTATTTGAAAGATCAAGGTTAAGGCGCTCCGAATTATGTTTGGGTAGCAAGAGAGTCAAATTAGAAAATATAATTTCACGACAGAGATGGGTTTACAAGCCCGTGTTTGTCTATGAGGATAACATGCCTATTTATATACTTCACATTTGACCCAGTAAGTTTGGCATACAAGCCTGCTGCAAGGGATACTTGTAAAAAGTCTAAACTATAAATAAAATATGTATAATTTTCATCCCTTGTAAATAATTATTTTAATTTAGGCCAGATTGATATGAAAGCCTTAATTATATTTTCTCTAGCTGGTTCTGCTCCTGTTTACAAAAACTCCAAAAAATTTTCAAACAATGTGTATCACTACCATGCACATGATTGACTGTGAAACTCCGATCACGAGTCTGGAAATTTTGGTCAAGTCTAATTAGAACTCAGATCAGTTGGTTTTTTATCGATTTTTTTTTGTCATTAATGTAACCGTCAGATGTAAAAATTGTCTTTTTTGTGTGTCTTTTCTTCAATCTTTCACCTGCATGTAATATATTAATGTGTTTACAGTAGCCTTGTCTATTAGAATGTTATCAATGGAAAGAATTATTCTGTTTCTCTTTTTGATAGTTGACTCCTCGTAGATAAAGTACTATGAATTAACCTTTCCATTGAGTACAAAGAGAAAATTAAAGCATAGTGTTTAATTCATGCCACCATCTTTTTTATTTTTATTCAATGTAGTAGAGATATAAGAAAGAATAGATAATAAACTGTTATCACAGAGATATGTCTCGCTTTTTTGTAATTTTGATTATGCAAATGTTGAAATTAAAATGGCAATACTTAACAAGTTAGGCTAATATTCAAAGTCAATGAACCATGACTGAAGTACATGGCTAAACCATCTCCATGTAAATGAGATGCGCCAATGCTAATACAACTGCATACCAAATATCATTGACTTATTATAAGTTGTTCCTTTGAACAAACCTAAACACAAACATTAACTTGTAAACTATGTAAAAGTTTCAAAGTCAATGAACCATGATGAGTGGGTGGAGCTATATAATCTCCATGGAAACGATACTTACAAATGCCAATTGTAAACTAAGCAAAAGTTTCAAAGTCAATAGGCCATGACTGAGGGGATGGGGCCAAATATTCTCCATTGAAATGAGATGTGCTAATGCTTATACAACTGAATACCAATTAACATTGGCCTACCACTAATGGTTCCCCTTGAACTGACCTAATCACAAACTAATACATGTTAACTAAGCAAAATTTCCAAAGTCAATAGACCATGACTAAGGGGGCTGAGCCAAATAATCTCCATGGAAATGAGATATGCCAATGCTTATACAACTGTATATCAAATATCATTGACCTACCACTAATGGTTCCCCATGAACTGACCTATAATCACAAACGAATACATGTAAAATAAGCAAAAGTTTCAAAGTCAATAGACCATGACTGAGGGGGAAGGGCCAAATAATCTCCATGGAAATGAGATGTGCCAATGATAATACAACTGTATACCAAATATGATTGACCTACAACTTGTGGTTCACCACAAACTAGACCTAATCACAAACTAATACATTGTTGACGCCGGAAACAGCATACCTATGTCTCGCTTTTTGACTCTGTCAAGCGAGACAAAAAATTAACAAACAAAAACAATAGCTTTGCATGGTTTTACAGCATTAATAAACAAGGTTCTCACTAAGGGGACTCCATGAGTCCTGGACTCATGAAAATCTGTCTGGACTCACCATTTTCAAAACTGGTGAGTCCAAAGATGCATCAAAATTGAAATATTTTGTATAAACTGAACACACATATCATGACAATAAAGTCATTTTTCTAGAAAACTTAGGACTGTCATTTTTTCAAACACTTTAAAATATATTAGCTATAAAAGCACTGTCTATATTACACCGAACAATGTTATTTAATCACTAAAGCACTGTCTTGGAACACTGGGTCATGTAAGAAGTACAAGCCAACTTGGCTGCCTTTGATACACTGGACTTAAAAGTAATCCTGATTCTGGTAACAGTTGGTGAAGTTGTTAATTAATCCAAACACTGAGGAGGCTGTGAATTGTCTTTGAGTCATTGTTGACCCTGTTGTCAGTTAAGAACTTCTTGAGCATGAGTCATTTAATGTCCGCATTAGAGTGTGAAATAGTGACCATTTTTTGCTGAGTTGAAAGTTTATTAAATGGTTTTTTTTTCGGCATTAAAACATTCTGATTGATGTTTGACAACAACATTCCACTTTTCTATCAATGCAGGTATTAACTTTAATCATCTTTGGCGTGTGCCATAAACAGAAGCCATATCGAGTAATAGTATTCGATCACCTGTTGGTTTTCAACAGCTGTTTTTTGATAAATTCCACATGGATTTCCAGTTTCCATTCTGAATTTTAATGATAGTTTAGGCAGATTTCGGCAAGTCGGCGTACCAAATGTTCTGATGAGAAAAAGAACTAGAGGTTCTAAAGAGCCTGTGTCGCTCACCTTGGTCAATCTGCATATTCAACAAAGGACACTCCAACGTTGTAGACAAAATAGAATTCATGACAAAAATCTCTGTTTTGTTGATCTTGGATTGCTGATCATTTAGTCTGTTAAGTTTCTCTCTATCTTCTTTAGTTTTTGCTCAAAACACAAAATAGGGTAAAAAAATCCTCATTTAAGTGCAATCACTCAGTCTAATAACTATATCAGCTAAATTGACTTGTTAGTAGATCTGTCCTTGCTGATCATTTTTGTGATTTAAAATGTCTATTTATCTATTATAATTTTTATCATCTAAGGCAAAATGCAAAAAAATGGTAACAATTGTCATTAAAGGTCAATAACTCCAATAAAGAGTCGTCGGACGATTTCCTCCATTTGTCTAAATTATAGATCTTGTCTTGCTAATAATCTTTGCTTATTGAAGTTTCTATTTATCTATTATAATTTTTAAGATATAAGGCAAAAATACAAAAAATTGATAAAAATCGTCATCAAAGGGCAATAACTTTAATAAGGAGTCAACTGACGATTTCGACCATGTAGACTTATTTGTAGAACTTGTTATGCGCATCATTTTTGCAATTTAAAGTTTCTCCCTATCAATTACTAGTTTTCAAGATATAGGCAAAAATGAAAAAATTAAGTTAGAGAACGGAAACTAAAATTTTTGCAATTTTTCCATTTATAAAGGGGCATAACTCTAGAACGGTTAAAGTGACGCCACCAAAATTCGAATTTAACTCTATTTTGTGGTAATAAGCATTGTGTATAAGTTTCATAACATTTGGTTGAGGCAAACTCAAGTTAGAGAACGGAAACCAATTTTGGGATGTACGGACGGACGGACAAGGGTACTTAATGCCCCCACCGCTACGGCAGGGGCATAAAAATTGTCATTTAAGGGCAATAACTCCTATAAGAAGTCGTCTGACAGTTTTGACGTATATAAATAATTGGTCAAGCTCAACATTCTGAACATTTCTGCTCCTGTCAGATTTTCGCTATTTATAACGTTTTCAAAATAATAGACAAAACTTGCATTTTACCCCTATGTTCTATTTATGTCCATGTTGGCCATCTTGTTTGGCAGGCAGGGTCATCGGACACATTTTTTAAACTAGATACCCCACTGATGATTGAAATTTGGATAAATTTGACCCAGTAGTTTCAGAGGAGAAGATTTTTAAGTTAAGGACGATGACGGACGCCAAGTGATGAGAAAAGCTCCCTTGACCCTTCGTGCCAGGTGAGCTAAAAATAATCGGATTCCAGAGAAAGCTGAGTTATTATTGACATGTGGCCACTAGAAATATCTCAGTCGACTTTTCATAATTATATCAAACGACAGAAACGATCTTAAAAACAACTTAAGATCGAAATACCACTTGGAATAAACATGAACTCTTTCACACAGATTTTTAAGTAATTCCAGAATGTCAATCGGTTGACTGCTCATAATGCAAAATGCAACTCTTATCCAAAGTTTTGAAAACTAACAAAAAACAACATTCAATTCTTTACTGTCCAGTGTCAGTGAATAACAATAAAAAACACAGAACATCACAAATAGAAGAAGAAATAATTCCACTTTTCAGGATTTTTATCATGAGGTATTATACTATCAAAATTACATACGGGGAAACCAAACTCTGTGTCAACAGTCTATGTATTTGAATTCAAGGAGATGAATGCATGTTAATAGACAGTATAAACAATTCAAACAAAATATTAAAACTTTCTTCTTTTATTATATCTCATTTATAGTAGACCCATTTATAATGTCAATTAGTAGTGTCAACCATTTAAAAACAAAACAAGTGAAAAACTTAACAAAAATATACATGTTTACAAATACATTGTAAAAATAGAACAATAGAAATAACAGTAAAATTATTGGTAACTTTGGCTTCACTACGTCCATCACCATCTACAAAAAGCACTTACACATACACAATATTCATTCACAAAAAAAGATAAGAATAACTAGAAAAATAGCATCCAAAAATGATTTACATTGTACTATACTTTATTGTTCAATAACATTTACAATACTTTTTATGCAGCAATAACAATTCTGTCATTATGGACAAAAATTTAAGAAAAATGGTAACAATTTTTGTTTCAACTCGTATATTTGAAATTTAACAGAAAGTTTGCAATCCTATTGAGGTTGCGCATTTTCCATTATCGAGTTGTTAAATTTAAGTCCATTTTTTATATTGTATTTTTCCATTGCTGTCAGTTTTATTGGCGAAAGAAAAGGTACACAAAGTAAACAACCAATCTTCGGCCAGTATATATTACAAACGTATTACATATCAAAAGACCATGCAACTTGTCATATTCTTCAAAAATATAATGCAACTTGAACCCTTTTTGTAATTCATTTAAATTCACTTGCTATCTACTTCAAGTTTCATTTTACACGGACAGAAACTTTGTAACATAAGGTATCTGCAAACAAAGTATGAAGCATCCAGGTTTTCTACCTTCTGAAACACCTTCTAACACCTTATACATTCATTTCTTAGTATCTTATTATTTACAAAAATTACAAAATTAAACACCAATGCACGAGACATTTGTTTTTTAACTTCATGAGATATTATGCTTAGTCTTTCAAAAGTTTCTATCTAATAAATTGAACCTTGCATTTCCTAAAAAGCAATGCCACATTTTTCCATAACTTCTAAAGAGTTTTAAAAGATGTTCATGCCAAGAAAAAAAAGCCAATGGCATAAAGCATTTGAAGGGTCTGTTGATACATGTACAATGGAAAAATAATATAGCAGCACCAAAGAGAACAATATTTTCAAAGTAAATTTATATATAGATTCTTGACCTTTTCTCCAATAAGTTGTGGTGTATGTGCTAATTTTCATTGTGATGCCAATTCATTCACTTATATACCAAACTTGTATTAAATGCAAGGTTGCTCTCAAATACATTAACTAATTCTGAGCAAGTTAATATAAGCAGTAGACAAAAACAGTGCTATAAAGTGAAGAGTTATCTCCCATTAGATCACTTAAGTACCTATGGGACTAGGACACCTGTCACTACACTCCTTTCTATCATTGTGATACTGACTCGTTAATTGATCCTGAGCTACTTGATGATGTTGTGCGAAGACGATTACGTGATGTGGTGTGACGAGATGAGAAATCCTTCAGCAGGTCACTGTTTAGAATCTCTGTAGCTGAAGGTCTTTCAACTGGGTTTGGTGACAGCAGCCATGATATGTACATTGTCTGTTAAAAATAATAAATATAATGTATTATTGTAATGATGTTGTGATAGAATGTACTCAGCTCAGTACTTTTCATCCTCACTTACACATCTGTATTTGCATCTGAGCATTTCATATTGTATAGCCCCCTTAAAGATGTGCTTAACTTGCCTTAAGAAAAAGTATTTTTTGTATAGCCCCCTTAATGATATGCTTAAGAAAAAGTATTTTTTGTATAGCCCCCTTAATGATATGCTTAAGAAAAAGTATTTTTTGTATAGCCCCCTTAATGATATGCTTAAGAAAAAGTATTTTTTGTAAAGTCCCTTAATGATTTGCTAAAGTGTTTATTGTATAGCCCTTCTAGGATGTGCTAAAATATTTATTGTATAGTCCCCTTCTACAATGTGCTAAATTATGTTTTTGTAAAGCCCCTCAATGATATGCTAAAGTATTTATTGCATAGACCCCTTCTAGGATGTTCTAAAATATTTATTGTATAGCCCCCTTCTAGGATGTGCTAAAATATTTATTGTATAGTCCCCTTCTACAATGTGCTAAATTATGTTTTTGTAAAGCCCCTCAATGATATGCTAAAGTATTTATTGCATAGACCCCTTCTAGGATGTTCTAAAATATTTATTGTATAGCCCCCTTCTAGGATGTGCTCAAGTATTTATTGTATAGCCCCTTCTAGGATGTGCTAAAGTATTTATTGTATATAGCCCCTTTTAGGATGTGCTAAAGTATTTATTTTTTAGTTCCCTTCTAGGATATATATAGTAACACATTTATTGTATAGCCCCTCAATAATGTTTTTGAGTATTTATTTAATTTTGCTTCAATAAATACTGTAAATTCAGATTTTTTTGTCATAAATTGCTTTTTTCAAAAATGTGATGGGATAAGTATCACATTAATTAAAACACATAATTTAAATTTTAATTGCTTTAATAATCTTTATGCAGTATATCCTGATATAACTTTAATCTCATATTTTTTTTTCCATTCAACAATAATCCCATCATAACCACATGTTATAATTTTGGATTTTACAGTGTTGTGTTACAATACCTCAGAAAGAAGCCTACCTCAAGGGGATACTCCATCTTGAAAGAATCAGAAAATCTTTGTCTTTTTACATCCAATAAAATTTTCACTCTCTCCATTTGTGTGGAAAAACAGTAAAATAACTCAAACAGAATCATTCCCAGTGAAAATATATCAACTTTGTGACCATAAGTCTTTCCATTTATCTGAAATTTAAAACAAATATCAACTTAGTGAAATAAGTAACTCATTGCTTTCTTAAGATATGCTGCCTCACTAATGGGAGTCTAAGTCTGCTGTAGACATACAAAATTCATCACTTTCATTTGCAAAGTGTTATTATCAAGTCAGGGGTATACATGTTGCTTGTTAATTGTTCAAATAAACTGATTTAAATTGTTATATGCTAACTTGAGTCTATGGGATCTTGCCAATCTCTTTCTATGGAGATATTGCATTTGATGTCTTCTGCACATATAACTATTTGTTGTTTTTTTTTTTTACATTTCAAGCCCCTATTCCAGTTTACATAGTTTCTGTTGTTACAAGCTATAGATAAATTGCTTCGCCCAGCGCAGCTGGATACGACGGCAGAGGTCCAATCCTGAACAGTTTGGGCAAAAATGGTGCTTGATACAGGTCTGAATTTGGATTGTAATTAAATATTTGACACATAAAAGGTTTCTGACACATAAAAGGTTTCTGACACAGAATAACTGTAGTCAAAGAACTCAGAATTTATATTCAATTTTTTGCTTTTGTGCAATACACTTTGCTGTTGCGAATTGACCCCCCCCCCCCCCCCACCTCCCACAAAAAAAAAATAAAAAATTTACCCCCCCCCCCTTTTTTTTTTACTTTTATGCAATACACTATGCTGTTGCATATTAACCCCCCCCCCCTTCCCCCCCCAACAACAAACTTTTTTTTGCAAAAAAAAATAATATTTGAAGAATTTTTCTTTTTAATTTCTGAAATCTGAAATGAGAAAAAATTGACCCCCAAAATTTCTTTTTACCCCCCTTTCCCCTTTTTCCCCCCCAAAAAATTCTTTCCCTCAAGATATGGTCATAATCTCAATTCAAATTTCCAATGGAGTTTGCAACCATAATTACCCATTTAAATTTACAATAGTGCTAACTTAATCTATTTTATAATAGAATTTAAAATATGGTGTCAAATCTTTCATATGGATTTTTTGGTAAAAAAAAAAAAAATGCAACATTTGCAGATATTTTTACTGGTCTTCCTTTATAAATATGCATTTCTTTAAACATAATTTAAAAAAGCAGTGTAAGGGAGGTAATCAAAACGTTGTATTTGGATTACCTCCCTTACACTGCTTTTAAATGGTCTTGTTTATTAACCATTACTGTATACATAATTTAAAAGCAGTGTAAGGGAGGTAATTCAAATGATGTATTTAAATTACCTCCCTTACACTGCTTTAAATTATGTTTTGTATTGAAGTATTTGTCCATTAACCAGGACACCCTTGTTTTTCCCCTTTTTTTGCCCCTAATTCCTAAACAGTTTGAGCCATAACCCCCCAAAGCAAATCCTACCCTCCCTTTGTGGTATGGAAACTTGTGGTATAATTTCAGAGAGATCCATACACCGTTCCACAAGTTATTGTCTGGAAACTAGAAAAATGCTTGTTTTGGCCCCTTTTTGGCCCTTAATTCCTTAATTGTTGGTAGCATAACCCCCAACCTTCCTTTTGTAATACTGAACCTTATGGTAAAATTTCATAAGAGATCCATTCACTTAAACTAGAGTTATTGTGCAAAAACCAATGTGTCTTTGGACGACAACGACGACGACGCCGTCATACCAATATACGACCGCGGCCATATAAATAGTAATTGTAGTGATTTCGGTTTAGGTATCTCATTCCTGAGTTATGAGTAAGAGAACAGTGAATGTGGTAAATCTTAAAGTTAAGAACAAATACCAGAATATTTCAACCTAAAAGTAAATAGATAATTATAGATTATCGATGGTTTTTCAAACAAGAGGGTGTTTCTCAGCTACAATCTCAGCGAAGGGCGACAACCCTGAGACGAGATGTAGCCTAGAAACATCCTCCAGTTTGAAAGACCATTGGTAATCTGTTTATCGCTATTTTAACTAAGACGGTTGTTGATATTTACATTGACATGGGCAGTTGCACCCTTAGGTTCTAGCGATCATTTTCTATCTAAAGCAAGTAGCATGTTATACCATAAAAAAAAAAAAGACTAAAGAAAAAATACTTGAAATAGTGATAATATGATATATTATAAATCTTTAATGATTGAATCTGAGCCCTTTTAAAATTCTGTTTTTTTTTCTTCTAAAATAAGAGTTTAAACCTGAAATTTGTGAAGATTAAAAAATATGACAGTCAACCACTTATCGTTCCAATGTTAATCGTTTAAAGAAATTTTTCAACTAAAATTAACCAGTATTATTAAAACACTATTTTTTTTATATATCCTAAATTTTAATAGATTATCTATCCATTTATATATATAAACAAGTCTAAATTGAAAACAACGTTCAAACCTATGATTGCGTTGGATAAAAACCGCAATTTTTATACGTGTGCATGCAAAACAAATTTCTTGTTAGAGGGGTCTAAATACAGCACAAACAACATTTTCCAAAAGACCAAAAAAGTGAAAAAGTATATTTCAACAAAACGCATTTGACTAACAGGTCGAACAACAAATGTTCTTAAACCCTGCTGACTGCCATTGGCGATTGCCAAATAAACGGATCACCGATGTAATAAATGGATATCAATTATAAATTTAATTCTAAACAGAAAACAATAAACTTGCGGAAAAGATGGTATAGCACAAACAAAAGGTGCAAAGGTTTTTGTACACCATATATATATATATATATATTAATATCTGAAAAACCCACCTGTTCTGGACTCATGTACATTTGAGTTCCAACTTGAGCTGTATGTCTTTTGTATGGAGAGTCTTCACCTAAGTATAATTCTAGCTCTTGATCTTCTAAAGCTGTCACCAAACCAAAGTCACCAATTTTGATAACACCATCCACAGAGAAAAATATATTGGATGGCTGGAAAATAAAATGACATAAAAAATTAAGAGAAATATTCTGACGCAGCCTTTACAACCACAAAGGAATTATTTAAATATCAAATTACACAACTGTTCTTTATCATGTTTTTTTATTAACAATTTAAAATCTGCTCCATGCTTCTTACACTGAACAACAAAAGAAATGCACACGACCATGTTAACTTTTTTGTTGGTAAAAATCTAATGGCTATATCATTAATTCTTTCAAACTAATTATAAGACATGCTAGAACTTTTGAGAAAAAAAATTTACCACCAAGAAAATCCAATTCTGTAAATTTGAATAAATTCTGAAAATCATTTTTTCAATTCCAAAAAATCCTATTCTTTTTTTTACAAAAAGGGAAATGTACAGCAAGTCCTAATAAACTGCTTCGCTGAGCACAGCTGGATACGCCCGCAGAGGTCCAACCCTGAACAGTTGGGGCAAAAATGGACACAATATTCAAGCTTGATACAGGTCTGAATTTGGATTGTAATTAAATATTTGACATATTATAGGTTTCTGAATAAATGTAGTCAAAGAACTTGAAATTGGTTATATGAATTGAATTTATATTCAATTAAAGATTTCTTGCTGTTGTGCAATACACTATGCTGTTTGCGCAATACTTAGTAAATCTGTTGTCAGACTATAAACAAATAAAGTTCAATTTCTTCTCAATGTCATATTTGACATGAAATTTATGAAAACCAATAGGGAGATTACATCAATAGCTATAAATAATTCACCAAAGTTTCATGAGAATTGCTGAAAGCATTTTTGAGTTATTGTCTGAAAACTGGAAAATCCCCCCTTTTTTAATGAATAAAATCCCATAACTCGGAAATGTAAAATCTAAAATTTATAAAATTCTAAAGGGAGCTTACATCAATAGATATCAACAATTCATCAAAGTTTCATGAGAACTGCTGAAAGCATTTTTGAGTTATTATCCGAAAACTGGAAAATCCCCCTTTTTTTTATAAATAAAACCCCGTAACTTGGAAATGCAAAATCTAAAATTTATAAAAATGTAAAGGGAGCTCATGTCAATAGATATAAACAATTAACCAAAATTTCTTGCAAGTTGGTGAAAGCATTCTTGAGTTATTGTCCGAAAACTGGAAAACCCCCCTTTTTTTAATGAATAAAACCCCATAACTCGGAAACGTAAATTCTAAAATTTATAAAAAACGAAAGGGAGCTCACGTCAATAGATATAAACAATTCACCAAAATTTTATGCAAATTGGTTAAAGCGTTTTTGAGTAAATGTCCGACATGTTGACGACGGACGGACAGACAGACGGACGGACGGACAGACGGACGGACAGACGGACAACAGCATACCATAATACGTCCCGTAAACGGGCGTATAAAAATGCAAGAAGGAAAAAAGTAATTGTTTATTTTTATTTTCAGGCATTATTATTTGTTTGGGAAAATGTTATACATTCGATTTTTGTCATTTTCAGTGGACTCTACCGTAAAAGTAACTTTTCTCCATCATAATTGGTAAACATCCTTTAATGTATAAAATGTTCAGTTTTAGACATCAATAAGGAAAATTGGGTCTGTACTCTGGAAAGATGTTAAAATTACATCCCAAAGAAAAAAAATCTAATATATATTCTTTTTATAAATTCTATCATAAAATCCAGCTATCAAGACCTATTTTCAATCTGTTACATCTTTATGATTACCAAATATTGAGTTAAACTAAGAATATCCATTGAATGTGTCTTTTGTCATGTGCTTGTATAAACAGTTTTGAAACCAGAATTCAACTTTACCTTTAGATCCCTGTGCATGAGCCCCTGATTATGAACATATTCTACTGCACCCATAATTTGATCAAATATATCTAACACAACACTATTGTCTCTTTCGCTGTTATTTGATATTAACCAGTCCTTCAATGTCTCTCTGCGACACAGCTGCATTTGTATAAATAGATACAACTTTGGAGTCGGTACTTTCATCTTGTAACCTGAAGTGGTATTTTGGTCCCTTGTGGAATGCTTTTTACTGGAATTTGATACTTTTGGCAACGTTGATCCAGATTTTGATATGTCAATATGAAAGTCATTATTTTCAAACAAGATTTTGTTACTTTCTGTGAAGTCATTACTGAATATAATTTCCCCACTGTCACTTTTACTACTCTTTTCTGCACAACCTGAGTCTTCAAACACAACACTGAAAGAATTGCTATTATCATTTCTTTTTTTGTTGGCATTTGAAAACGGAATGTTATTAGAACAGCTTCCACTGTCATCACTTTCATCCAATTTAAACTGAACATCGAGAGAATCTTCATTCCAAGTTTCATCGAAACCTTCCAACATACTCTCTTGGCGTACACTTCCTTCTCTAGAAAAAGAGATACTATCTGTGTGAACACTAAATTCTTGACTACCGCCAGCTTTTTTAGACTTTGCAAACACTGTATCTATATCCTTTTGTCCTCCAAATGGATTCAGTATGTCAAAGGCTGGGGATGGTGGCATTTTGATGGACAAGGATCCAGTTCCTATCTGTGTTACAGAGTTACATGGAGTTGGTGATGTTAAACATTCACTGAAATATGTAAAAAAAGAAACTTGAAAATAAGAAAAAGTTTCAAGAGAATTTGACAATTTTGAGTTTAATGGTTTTCGCATTTGATATAATATAATTTGATGAGAAGCAAATATTATAGATGTCTGGGAAAAATAAATACTATTCACAGGCTATTAACCAGGATGATTCTGATTTTGATGATGTGCAGTCATGAGGCTTGAGACTTTATCTTCAACTTGGCTATCATGTGTAAAATAATACAAGTGTTCCGTAAACAGGAAGTTGTTGAGTGATGAATCTGAAAACACATCACACAGTATAGCTGACTTATATAAACCCTGACAAAATTTCAGAAATCTTTGTAATGTAGTTCCTGAGAAAGATGCGACGAAAATATTCATTTGACAACCGGACAGACTGACGGAGGATGGACTGACGGATGGAAGGACTGATGGATGGACAGACAGACAGAGGTAAAACAGTATACCCCCACTTTCTTAAAGCGGGAGTATGAAAAACTGTATATCCCCCACTTTTTTAAAGCGGGGGTATAATAATTAGATGTAATCAATGTTTAACATGTGAATTTCCTATGGATGCAAAACAAAATAAAATGGATGTTAACAATCAAACCAGTAACTTTAATGTTTTAATTAAAGAATGTGTGTTCATTGTAAATTGATATACACCTCTTTGGCATTAATCTTTGATGACAAAGTATTTTTGCCAATAAAAAAACCCAGCAGAAATGTTTTTTTTCACTGATGATTAACAAATGATGCATTATTAAAACCATTGCAAAAATTCATTATTTGTTAACTGCTTAGTACCTGTCTTCAAACTGCTTATCTTGGTCTTCCTGCCATCCAGGGGGAGGTGACTCTAGCCAAGCATTGAAATACCTGACTATACCACTGTGTTCTAATTTGGCCAAGGCCTTGACTTCTCTCATCACTTTTTCTTTTGATCCTTCACTGGAATATAAAATTTATAAATGAAGAGGATTTGTTCAAATCTCAAAGGAATACAAAGGTCATTTTCGCAATACCCGTTTTAGATGCATGCTGATCACATATTCTGAACTACAATAAAACTATTTAAAGATAAGGCTACATACTAAGCATATGAAAATAACATTGAACAGTACCTGTGCAGGGTAATTCTTTTTACAGCATAATCACAGTCATCCACTTTGTTTCTTGACTCAAAAACAATACCAAACCCTCCTTTACCCAGGACTTGTACATGGTCAAAATCTGAGGTATATCTGAAAACCAAACAACAACTGTTTAGAATAACACAATACAAAACCCTACTATAAGCAGGAGTTATATATGCTCAAAATCTGAGGAATATCTGAAAAAAACAAAATACACTTGTTTAATAGATCAACACAATACAAAATCTTCCTTTACCCAGGACTTACATATTGTCAAAATCTGAGGTATATCTGAAAAACAAAAGACACTTGTTTAGACCAACACAATACCAAACCTTCCTTTACCCAGGACTTGTATATGGTCAAAATCTGAGGTCATATGTTTACATACCTTGATACAAATTCTTCTGTTTTCTTTTCTACAACATCTTTGCTGTTGCCGTTTACATCTTCCAAACAGTTTGGTTTCTACAATCAATAACACACATCAAATTTTTATCAATTTGTATAAAGCATCCAGTTTTATTATTTGCTTGCCATCTTTGCATACGTTGTGTTTTGAGTTTCAAGGTTTTATAAAAAAGCAATGATACAGGTTATAACCAGCTAGCACCTATAAATGTTCACCCAAAATTTGACTTGGATATCATATGTATTCACAAAAATAACACATTTAGGGCCTAACATTCAACTGTGAAAGATACTATAAACAAACTTACATTTGGGTGTAAAATATTAATTTAAGGTAGATCAGGTGTCTTTTTCTGAGCATCCCTTCTGGGCATGCTGCAAAAATACCTTTTTTTTTTAAATATTTTACCAAGTATCATTCAATATACAACAAAATACCAAAAAACTTGAAATTTAAAGATTAAACTATCAAAAGATTAAGTGTCATAAAGTATATTTAAAATTTTCAGAAAAAAATCCTTTTAAAATCAAGGGCAGATAATTATACTGAATTTGAAGGACAATTTGTGTTTTTTTGACTTTTCAAGAAAATAAGGCCCATGACCCCCTATTTTTATTTGATATTTCAAAAGTATTAATGAAAAGCAATTCTCTCATCGAATTTTAGCCAATTCAATTGTTTAATGTTTCCTTGATAAGGAAAAATTAAGTTTCCCCTATATAAACATTATCAAATAACCCAAATTTCATTAATTTCAATGTATTTTAACAAAAAAACAAGGTCTGTGACCCCCAGTTTTTATATTGAAATTTGAAAGAACATTGACCCAGAAGTTTAAGAATCAAAGCACTGTAAGCGCTGTAGGCAGTTAACCAAAAACCAAGGCAAACATAATTATGAAAACTGTGGCTATGTTGCTTCATTTTTTTTAAGATTTAAAAGAACAAACATTAAACATTCATATATTGTGCATTTATGTTCATTTAATGAATTAATTATTAAGGCAAATAATTCATATTTTATCAAGGTTTTCAAAAGCAACGCATATATCAAGTATATTTTTCATGGTCATGTGTCTGCAGTGGTACAAGTTCGAAATGATTGCAGTTGTTCTAGTTGATAGTTAACGTTGGTATTAGTTGACTGTTAGTAGTTCAAGTTGACTTAGTACGAGCTTGTAATAGTATGCATGGACTTGCTTCCCTGGAAAGAAAACTGAGTGTGTGTTCTACAGTGCAAAAGTTATGAGACACAAATCAGACAAATGTTTACTACTACGGGGATCAAAGGTGAGGTCTGACTGACCTGCCCATAGTAAATGTAAATGACCCCCGCCTTCACCCCAAGTCCATGATGTCTAAGTTTGGAATAAAATGACAGGTGATTATAATAAAGTTGGTCAAACACTCTTGGGCTTGAAAGATATGTTTTCTTTAAAATGAGCCATATTAAAATGAAATTTTTTATAGAACCAGAAATTATTCAAAATATAATTAAGGTAAATTCTTTAAACCTACTCATTTTTGCATCAATAAAATTTTATAATAAACAAGAAATAATTGTAACAGAATGCTGTTACGAAGTCTCCCAAACAAAGCTGCCATAATTATTCATTCCCATGGTCGCCTGACATTGGGCAAAGTCTAGTACACATTGATTAGGTCTAGTAAAGTGATATGCATATGTGATGCCTATGAGATTGACCTTGTATGTCATTCAAATCTGTTTGAAATGACGAACAGGAATGAATATGGTTTAAGAGTTGGTATCTCAAACTTTTACAAGTTCTTAAAACACACACAAGAGGGGATGGGGTGACCTTAGGGACTAACCCTATATTTCATTTGATTTTTTATGTTGTCCCATACATGAATATATATATGGTTTAGGGGTGGGGATCTCGACCGTTATCAAGTTTTCAAACAGGAGGGGGTGGGGTGACCCCAGTGACTTCCCCTATATTTCATTTGATTTGTTATATTGCCAAATACATGAGTATATATGGTTTAGGGGTGGGGATCTCATCTGTTTCCAAGTTATCAAACAGGAGGGGGTAGGGTGAACCTTAGGACTCTCCCTATATTTCATTTGAAAAGTTCTGCTGTCCCATACATGAATATATATGGTTTAATTTAGAGGTCGGGATCTCGACTGTTTCCAAGTTCTCAAACAGGAGGGGTGGGGTGACTGCAGGGACTCCCCTATATTTCATTTGATTTGTTATATAGTCCCATACATGAGTATATATGGTTTCGGGGTGAGGATCTCGACCGTTTCCAAGTTCTCAAACAGGATGGTTTACAGTGACCATAGGAGCTGCCCCTATATTTCATTTGATTTGTTATATTGTCCCATACATGAATATATATGGTTTAGGGTGGGGATCTCGACCGTTTTCAAATTCTCAAACAGGAAGGGATAGAGTGGCCCCAAGCACTCAACCTATATTTCATATGATTTGTTATATTGTCCCATACATGAATATATATGGTTAAGGGGTGGATCTCGACCGTTTCCAAGTTCTCTAACAGGAGGGGTGGGGTGACCCCCAAGGACTCCCCCTATATTTCATTTCATTTGTTATATTGTCACATACATGAATATGTATGGTTTATGGGATCATTATTTTTTTGTATGCTCCAATGAACAAATTATGTCTTTAAGAGAAAGATATATACCTACATATTACACACAAAATCCTTCCCAATTGAAACTTACTGGTCTATTATCACACTGTAACGTGCCACTGCTAACAAAAGTGTGCATGTTTCTAAGACATATTGAAAAAATATTTTCATAATACAAAGCATGTTACAATAACTTCATATCCACGTTGCAATTAAGAATTTTGCAAACAAATCAACCAACTATGGTTTATTTCAATTTTATTGTATGATATCACTTATTTATTTATTGTGTGTCTTGCTTGTAAATGTATAAGTATATATGTAATTGTTAATGTATAATTGTTATCCTCATGTAGCACCATACGTGTGCTTAAGTTTAAATAAATTGTCTTGTCTTGTCTTGGGATCTTGACCGTTTCCAAATTCTCAAACAGGAGGGGTGGGGTGACCGCAGGGACTCCCTCTATATTTCATTTGATTTATTATATTGTCCCATACATGAATATATTTGGTTTAGGGGTGGGGATCTCGACCATTTCAAAGTTCCCAAACAGGAGGGTTGGGGTGTCACCCCAGGGACTCCCCTGTATTTCATTTGATTAGTTATATTGTCCCATACATGTATATAAATGGTTTAGGGGTGGGGATCTCGACTGTTTCCAAGTTCTCAAACAGGAGGGGTGGGGTAACCCTAGGGACTTCCCCCTATATTTCATTTGATCCCATACATGAATATATATGGTTTAGGGGTGGGGATCTCATCCGTTTCAAAGTTATCAAACAGGAGGGGGTAGAGTGACCCAAAGGATTCCACCTATATATCATATGATTTGCTTACATTCAGGTATCATAAAATCTAGTTGCACTATTTGCGAAAACAAAGTAAGAAACTTCCAGCTATGTTAACTGACCCTTCAAAATTGAGAAAAAAATTAAAGTAATATGTTTACACTTTAAAAGCATCTTACATGCATTATCAACATTTATCACTGATAAAGAAGATTTATACTGTCACCAGGAACATATATATTGTTAGATATACTGTTCCCAGCTGTCACATTGTATTGGATTTTGACATTAAAATTTGTCAAAAAGTAATTTTGAGTTTCTGTATCAAATATTTTTTGCTTTTTCTTTCTTTTACATATATCTTTTGGTTTCCATTTCTAGTGTTTATATTTATTTACCATGCATAGATGTATTTTGTCACCTGCCTGAAATTTTTTTTTGTAGTTGATCTCCAAAACCCGGAATTACCCTTATCCGCTTCCGGAATCGGACCCGATATTGTAATTGTCTATACGGCATCCATTGTTTTTCAATGTTGTTTTTGTCAGTCAGATACGATTTTACACATTACTTGTAGGCGATTATCTGTATAAAGCTAGCGGTTGAACAAAATGAACATCGCTGTCATGAATAATAAAGATGAAAATACCTTTTGAGATCGTTTATTTAGAGACTTTGGTAAAAAGGTTTGCAAAGTTATTTTTAATTTTCTTTCAAGTGAAAGGTCCGTCGGGCGTAGCTAGTAACCAAGTCGAGAGTCCGATTGCAAAAGTGGAAGGTTGCGGACCTCGGACCACCGCTAATTTGAATCCCTGCCTCCAAATTGAAAAGATACGAAAATTTCGTCTTCTAATTTGAAATTGCCGCCAACAGCATGAACAGTCGAACTTATTAATAGACTACTGACGTAGTTGTAACACGTATTGACGACAAACAATATTCCTACGACTTTTGCCATTTGGGAAATCTAAACTACTTGTCTTTAAAGATTTTCGACGATTAAATATTTCATACAATTATTCTTTGACATCTTAGCCAAAAGCACAGGGGATAATAAACTACATAAGGATTCCTAATGTGCTCTACTTCCTATGTGCAACTTCAAAACTTTTGGGTGGTTCGACGATCATTTAAGGTTTTTTCTGGTAATATTTTTGTAATCCAGAATTAAAAGTATGAAAAAACTATTCAATTAGTTATAAATAACATTATATCCAGCTAGATAATAACAATGGCACGTATTTCAGCATTTATTGGGTAGAACACAAATCTAGGGTGCTCGCATAAGGCAGCTTAACTGCCTAAAAATCTATTGTCGAACATTAAGACACCCCAGCTCAGGGCTTCCAAAATTTCCTGACGACAGCCGGACATTTTTCAAAGAAATATTTTTGACGGTCAATGATCAGCTGGATACTTAAATGTAACTGAGAGGATGCATAAATTGATATATGTGTCTAAATAATTAGTAGTGTTATATGCAATAAAATTATTTATAACTGTTTTGTTTTCTTCATTCTAAAAATAAATAAAATATTATCCTCGGTATTGTGTCATTTTTCTGTGTATCGTAATACAGTAACCATCATTGCATCAATCAGCTTCAGTACCTGACTGTTCTCATGTTTTTGTTTCTGTTTATATAATCTATCTTCTCTCTGTGAGTACTTAACACTTTGTAAATTAAGGCCATCTTATTTGAAACTGTTGATGTTGGCTTTAATTGCAGTACAACTTGATCATCAATACACGTGATACTTTTCTTTTTGTGTATTGATTACCTGACCACGTGACTTTTACAACTGATGCGGTATTTATAGATAACATTGAGGAGGCCCGATGAAGGATATTGTTTTAAACAGTGTAAAATCTACTGAACAGTGATAACATTTTTCTTTGTACAATTTCCCAACCTGATTTAGAAAATAAGGAATAAATAAAAACATACTCAGTTGATAAATAATTTAATGAATAACAACATGATATTTTATGTAAGCATATAACAACAATAAAATGTCAGAAGAGCACAATGCTGACAAACACACGCAATAAATATTACAATGAGCACATTGAAAAGAAGCACAGATCACAGCACAAGATTAGAGTTCATTTAGTCTAATTAAAGATTTTACATTCATGAGCTTGCTAAATGCATTGTTCTGATAAACATGGCGGTTACGAACGGATTGCCATTTGCGGATAGCAGGAACAGGGTCAAAGTCTTTAACATCTACACCTACTAAGCTTATCCTCATAAGTTGATCTAAAGCGTCAATACCTAGACTACACCTTAGTCGATCATAATTCCCACGGCGGGACTTAACTTTACGTCGGACATCACCTCTTTCTCTATAACATCGGAAATTGTCTGAATAAATTCGGAGCAGGCATTGTTCTCTTGATATAATTTAGAAGTGATCACGGCACCATTTAACTTAGTTAAATCATTTATTGACTGAAATTTGTCCATTGGTTTTTCCTATATATTTTAGTAAATTTTCCCCTTGAGAGTACCCCAGTATTTAACACGATGTACAGTGTTAAATAAAATAATATATATCATACTTATTCATTTATAAATATCCTTATTTGAAGAATAACTTTTAAATATCAGGATACTTTTAAAACTGAATGCTCATTTAAAATAATATCTATAAAGCGTAATTAAATAGGATGTTGTTCCATACACGCTTACATGTTTGACCTCGTTTACCGGATTACCTTTATGTACATTGTTATGCATCATTAATTCTATTGATAAAGATAAGCTAAGGACACCTCATCAAAGGTAACAAACCTGTAATAAGTGAATGATTTATGGCTTCAATATAACTTATTCAAGGGATAATTGTTTGACAGCTTGTTGTTATTTAAATAAAAGAAAACATGTTTTTTCTACTTTTTATTGATGTACACAAACTAAAGACCAAGCCGTACATTTATGTACCCAGAGGATTAGACTAACTGAGACACTTCAAAGTATCTGAAATATGCTGCTTCTGTTTTATTAAACCCAATTATGACCGAAATATCTTTGTGAAATAGATTGCCACAATTATAAACTAAAATGCCCAAACGGACATGCCCAAAGCCCCAAACGGACATTTTTATCGATCGATAGTTGGTAAAAATTGAAATGACCTTTTCATGAAAATGCCTTGAATAACAAAATGTGGCACACCAAATCTATTTGACCGTTTGAGGCTGAGAGCAGCCGGTCTTTTTATGAAAGTTTCGGTCAAGTCCGGAATATATGACCGTTTTGGAAGCCCTGCCCCAGCTACCTTAAATATCACAAAACGTCCAGATGGTTTAAAAAACTGGGATCTTCTCTTATATGAATACATGAGTCAAAGTTTGAAATTCATTAATATGAATCGCAGCAAAATCAATTGAAAAGGACTAAACATGAAAAAAATGTTAAATCTCCTAATATAGTGATCTAAAACCTATTTAATACATGTATAGTTAATGTAATACCACAGTCTATAGTCTTTTTAATCATGGATCTCCCACTATCAGAACAGTATGTTAGTTTAATACATTTCAATTATCAGTTATAAATTTTACCTTCAATAGGTCTTAATTTCTATTCTTAAAGAAAATTCAAACTGATTAAGGGCAATTTCTTTTTAAATGTACCGACTACATACCTTAATAACAATCAAGCCTTGTTTGACTGCAACTTTGGTCAGAAACAGATGGACAAATACAGCAAAAAACATACTGAACACAAGAACTTCCTTCCTGCAAAACAAACATTAATTAAATGTAATATATATATGGTTTATTTTTATCCAAAATGTTTAGTCCTTTAATTTTAAGAATTTTATTATGATGGCAGATCTTTAATGTGACAGTTTCCGTTAGATTTATTTACAAACTTCCCTATGCTTGAGGCAATTTAGTTCTTGATATATTTTATGAAAACTGGAATTGAAGACCATATGTTGACTTCTGAATGTTGTATATTTTTTTTGTAATTGGGTTGCTGTCTTATTGATATTCAACCAACATCTTCTTTATTCAAATAGACTAAATAGATCCATTCATATTCATTGTTTGCCATCAATAAACACAAGCCAACAGACAATTTTTCCCATGTTGCAGCAGTTTCTGAGAGCTTAAAATTGTTTATTTGACACTGATGTAAACAGTTAACTTACCAGTATGACCAGAACGACTGTGTGATGTTAACCAACATATCTGGTTCATCTGTACTGTTGTTTTCAGGACGATCTTCTGGTACAGAAAACATAAATTCTGGATATAAATAATATCCATCATCTAAAACAACAAACAATAGAATGCAAAGAACACAAAATATTCTAGACTGTGAGTTTTCTGTAATACTTAAAAGAATCTGAAACAATCTGTTACTTAAGTTATGGAGTATTCAAAATTTTGGATATCAACAACATGTTTGCAACATACTTCATTTTATTTATCAGCTTAACGTTTCTGCAGTTAATTGAAGAAATATAGAATGATCTTCTGTTGAGAGTGAGTCAAATTATTTGTCAACTCAAGATAGTTAGATATTAGATTTTCGAGATGTTAAAATTTAAATTCAACTATTGAGTGGAAATAAAATATTTTACCTGATGAAAAAACAGAAGAATTTGTCTTCCCTTAGTTTTTCAGTTTTTCTCGTGAAAAACTGAACAACAACAGTGTTGTTGCTTATAAAATTACCAATAATGTTACATCATAATGAATTAGCTACTTATCTCAGCATCTAAATATACTGGTTTATTTTGAGAGAAAATTTAACCCACATGCGGTTTACATAAAAAAATTCAACCATGGATGATATGTGTTTAAATTTATTAACTGATGAACTAAATGAACTTACTGTACTAATTGTTAAAATTCTTAAATATTCCAGGAATTATTGAAGGCCTAACTGTTTTTACCAAATGAATAGTTACAAAATTAAATATGTCATTATTTCTTGAAAGATTCAATGTACTTACCAAATGGATAGTTGTATAAAACCATCCCAGTCTCTTTAGTTTGTCCTTCTTCTAACAGTGGTACTTCTTTGTTTTTCATCATAGGGGTTCTAGATGGTGCTGTTAAAAAAAAAGAACATTTTCATTATGTCAAGTCATTTTTAATTTATATAAAAATCAACTGAAACAATTTCCAAGCAAAACAACCTAATGTTTGATTAAAAAAAAAATAATTTGAAACAAAAATAAATTCTTATCAGATCATTTTGTATCATCACAATTTTCTATGGTCTTTCTGGGTGATAATTTTTCATCTCATTCTATTCGACTGAGGTGTATTTTTCTCAGTGGGATAGAATGAGAATATCAAGATGACACAAGCCCAACATCATTGTTTTTTCATAGGAAAATTGCAATAAACAGATTATCTATATTCTTTCAAACTGGAGGAAGTTTCTTGGCTACATCACATCTAAGGATTATCTCCCATCAATGAAATTGAAGCTGGGAAACTCCCTTCTCCTTTTTAAAACCATAGAAAATCTACAATTCTACATTTGTATAATATTAGGGATATGTTTCGAGTATGTATCTTTTAGAATAATGACATTTACCTGAAGCTAGATAAGGCTTCCATGTGACCCTGGGTACATTTCTAGTAGGATAATCTCCATGGACAACTTTAGCCATTTTTTCCTTCATAGCTACTGATGGCTGTACATATAATTGGTTTTGATGTTTACCTACAGAAAAAAGTACATTTCATTATTAAATTTTCTACTCCATAACTACTAGTTATACAGGGAACAAAAGCTATTGCTTTTAGGGGTTATTTGATGTTTCTGCTTTTTATCAAATTTCATGGATGATTGAAACTTGAATTAGAAGATAAGCCAACACCAAAGAGAAAGTGCTCAAATCTATCACACATGTAAAGTTGATCGGATTTGTTAGGGCTATTCAACAAAAAATGTGTGTGTGTGTGTGTGTAGGGGGGTCAATCTGTCCAATCTATCAAGGGGTGATTGATTTTTTTCTATTTAATCTTTTTGGCATAAACCTAGTTCTATCCCAAAGCTGAACAACTATACAAATATTTCAGCAATATTTTGTACCATTAGACTCAGTAACTACTGACTAATCATTCACTGGATTTTACTTCTATGTTCCAATTCTAGCAATGACACCCATGATGGTTGACAGACAGGATCACAAATTTGAAAGTACACTCTCTCTATCAAATCAAAGCATCGTTGATGTTGTGATCCAGCCATATTCATAGCTAGTCTGATATTCTTTCTGACCATTCTTTTTTCTAAATTTTTTTCTCTTTTCATTTCCAATCTTACTGTAAAATGTCTATGTTATTGTCCAAAGGTAGGGAATTTCGCAATATTGAAGCAAATATAGATATTTATACTGATCTTTTAATTTCAGACTCTGTCAGATTTTATTTTTGACCAGAATGGAAAGGAAAATCATCAAACAAGTAATATATTTTGTATATGCCATTAATAATGACAGGTTTAATAATTTCCAGAAAGAGGCCTTATTAATGCACTTTCTCAACAACAAAAATTATAAAAAATAATAACTATGTTTTATCTAGACTGGTGTTCATTCTTCATTAAGAAAAAATACATTTCCTGTATTCAAATCTGAATGTACAAATACCTAATGCTGAGATATTTCCAATTACTGTCAAATAGCAATATAATGGGATATAAATGTAAAACAAACAAATAAATTTTATTGCAGAAAATGCTCAGGTAAGAATTATGCAATTTTGTTAAATATTTCAACCAAATTTCTGATAATTGTAACTAATTAATTAGAACTTGATTATTGACTTATGTCAGATGATAATGGCACTGATTTTACAAGTAAAATAAAATTTGCTTGCATTTTTTATACATATTCTTTTCATTTTAAGTATTTTCTTTGAAAAAAACAAAACACATCAGATTAATCATTCAGCTAGCTAGCAAAATTAACAGAATATTTTAATGTAGTGTAGATCAAAATAAATAATACATTTGTAGGTTTACTATTGAGGTCAAGAATGTGTGTATTCAGTTAGGTGTGTAATAAATTGTGTCTATTTAATTATGTAAGAGGTGATGAGATATTAACTGTTTTGAATTAAGCCTGGGGTTGTTTCTAATTAATACTTATTTGAAAATCATGACAGTTAATAATCATTCTGACTCTTACTTGCCTATGGAAAGAATTGGAGTAATACCATTTAAAAAAAGTGTGGGAATCAACTTAGATATATTAATACACATGTTGACCTACATTTCATTGAACAATAATTTACACAAGCACAAGATACTAATATAATACTTTAAAAATTCTTATCAACTGATTCAATTGATGTACAAATACTTTTTCAAATTAATTCGTAAATAGAAAATCATCATAAATTTTGATTTAGAAAGGAATTATATGCAAGTGTATATCTAAAATAAAGTCACTATTCGACCAATCTTTTCTTAATTTAAGGGCAAATAACATGTCAAAAAATTGCAGTTGATGATTAAAAGTGTGTAGAAAGTTTCTGCAAGTCATAAAAACACATAATTAGTTTCATGATTATGTCTTCAACTTAGTATTCTGCACCATCTCCAAAACCAGAGTGATCGCATAGATCCAGCATGGCTGAATCAAAAACGAGTGAATATAAGTGTTACCAGTGATTAAAAAATAATAAGAATGCTTCATGAAATAACAAATAGTATGGTGAGTGTATAGTCATTTCATGACACAGGAAATCATTCAATGATTTTTTTTTTAATTTTAAAAAGCATTCCAGGTGGTTTAGAGCAATAGACAACTTTCGAGTTCGATGCATTTCCGTCAAAAACTCTGGTTTTAATGAACATCATTCGTGCGTTTAGGGGCATCGTCACTTCCGTTCCAATGTTGAGCAAGTGGTTGGAAAACCATAATGCTATATTGTACGAATTATTCGGCAAATTAAATTCTCATAATTGACAATCAGCACTACTGTCATTAGGGAATTGTGATTAAGTACTTACAAAACAAACATTATTTCTAGTTTATCCTGCACAATGACGATCACTAAGACGCTTGATGAACGTTAATAGTGCAGGGATACAGGCGATCCCCTCTATCTGGTAAATGACGTCATAAAGGCGCGCATAATTGATGAGTTTTTTCCGGTGAAGGATGAACTCGAAAGTGGTCTATTCTCATGGGTTACTTACCTACATACAGCAATGGCTCAGGAGAGGGTGCATTTTGTGGTGGTTCAAAAGAAGACATTGCAGGTACATGTTGATTGTCAAATACACTGATTGGTTTAAGTATACCATTCCTCAGTAGCCAAGCATTTGCTACAGGGCTAGTAAACTAAAAAAAATCAACAAAAAGTTTACTACACTGTCAAAACATACAATGTGTAAGTTCAGGAATTCTTTTTTGTTCTTAGAAAATTGAAGGACAGCAGTTGCAGTGACCATCTGGTTCTTATAAATTAAAAAAGTCTTTCAGAAGCTCTATACTGAAAAGAAATTTACTTTGTTTCAGTAAAATGCCTAACTACTGTCAGTTTACTTTTCTCAAAAGCAATTTTTGAAACATGCTTAAAATTTGATTTTGAGGTCATCACTGACTATTTTATTCTATGGTGATCATTGACTATTTGACCTAATGGTGATCATCGACTATTTGACCCTGTGGTTTTGACTATTTGATACAGTCATCATACTTTGGTGATCATTGAATATTGGATATTCTAGTAATCATTCATAATTTGATTCTGTGGTGATCAGTGACATTAACTCTGTGGTAATTGTTCCTAATTTGATTCTTTGTGATCACTGACTATTTGATTCTATGGTAATAACTGACTATTTGATTCTATGGTAATCACTGACTATTTGATTCTATGGTAATAACTGACTATAAATAAATCGATGATACTGTGTCAACATGAAGGTTGTTTTTTATAGACTTCAATATAATACCTTATGTTTCCAACTGATAACTTCAATGTTATCAGAACTCAGTCCAACAACAAGACCCTCAGGAACAACTATCTTAAGTAGGGGTTCAACTTCAATTTCTTCTTCCTCTGAATAAAAAAAAAGGAATTTTCATAAAAATTGTCTTAAAAAATAAACAAATGTTTATCATTTATTAATGAAATTGAATAATTCTTAGAACTGTTTACTAACAAATGTTTTCTGTTGCTAGGTTGTTGTCACATTTTATTTTACCTAACTTAGTTTTTATTCATACAAGTAATGCTTCATAAGATATGACTTTACCATTAGCTGGACAGGTAACAATCTTAACATCATCGTCATAATCCGTGTCAACAGGTTTGACTGGTTTAATGTTGGTCCCCGGTAAAAATTCCAGATCATGTGATCCTACGCTGAAGTTCCATCTACAACAACAATGATTCTTTTTATTTTAACATCTTTATTATGACATGTAAAATTATCTCCCATTATATTTTTTGTTTTTTACAAGTTCAGATCATATGTTTTCATATGTCATATCATATAATTATGTTCTATATTCTTTTTTAATAATTGTAGAATCACAGTCCATTCTAAAACTAGATGAAAAAACAGAATAATACAAAGGATACTTCAGTTTAATGTAAAATGAGTGTACACTTTTAACTGAGCAATTAACATATAACTTTATCATATGAATATCACAAGAGGAATAATATATATAACGAAGCCAGGTTCTATCACAATGTTCAACTTTAATTCTTGGTGTGAATGGGAACATTAATACACACTATTACTGGCTATCAGTACTGCAGATTTAATCGGTAACACATATCAAAATCTGCTGTACATGATTGTAAAATACTTTTACGGCAACGGTGATCAGAATGATAGAATATAAAATCTGCTGGACACGACAGCAAAAACAATTGTTTTGGATGGCAGTCGGGAACACAGATCCTATTGTATCTGTCATAATTACTCTCAGTAATAGGGGTGCTGTTCAAAATTTAAATTATGTTCAAATATATAAATGCATTTTTTCCATTAAATCATTCTGATGATACATGTACCTTGGCCATATAACTTAATGGTAAAAAACTATTTAAAAGATATTGACTTGTTTGGTAAAGTTCAATAACAGCAGTTCTTCAACATAACTTACTTTTCCATTCCTACTCTAGAATCAACTGCTCTTACAGTTTGTGTATTTCTAGTAACTACAAGGACATCTTCCTCTTCCGTTACCATGGAATCACCAAATGTATGACAGCCATGAGCACTGCATGTGTACTTCAACTATAGTAATGAACATATGATACTACAAGTACACAAAATTTATTTATACATTCGAACTATAAAACGTAAATTCACCATAAATTCTTTTTTTTATGAGTTATTCATAGTATGACCATGACTTTTTAATGTTTTCTACAAGCATGTTAATATCAACATGCATTGACTTGTAAAGGTCACAAGGCAGTTTATTCAAGAAGATCTTGGCTAAAATATTTTCAAACTAAGTAAATACATTAACAATGTTTCCCTTTGCAAATTATTATATTCTATATCATCTATGTTTCATATACAGAAGAGTTGTTGTTACCTTGCAAATACGATTATCATATCATTATTACACAAGAGTGCACACGCTGAAATGTCTCGCCTTCTTTACTAATCATTGATATTATGTTGATAGTCCTAAATATAAAGCTTTATTACAACTGTCACATAAACTTAACATTAACCAAGTAAACTAAACATTGACCAATGAACCATGAAAATGAGGTCAAGGTCAGATGAACCATGCTAGGCAGGCATGTACAGCTAACAATTCTTCCATACAACAAATATAGTTGACCTATTGCTTATAGTTTAAGAAAAACAGACGAAAACACAAAAACTTAACACTGAGCAATGAACCTTGAAAATGAGGTCAAGGTCAAATAAAACCTGCGTGACTGACATATAGATCATAAAATATTTCCATACACCAAATATAGTTGAACTATTGCATATAGTATTAGAAAAAAAGACCAAAACTCAAAAACTTAACTTTGACCACTGAACCATGAAAATGAGGTCAAGGTAAGATGACACCTGCCAGCTAGACATGTACACCTTACAATCATTCCATACACCAAATATAGTAGACCTATTGCATACAGTATAAGAAAAACAGACCAAAACACAAAAACTTAACTATAACCACTGAACCATGAAAATGAGGTCAAGGTCAGATGACACCTGCCAGTTGGACATGTACACCTTACAGTCCTTCCATACACCGAATATACTAGACCTATTGCTTATAGTATCTGAGATATGGACTTGACCACGAAAACTTAACCTTGTTCACTGATCCATGAAATGAGGTCGAGGTCAAGTGAAAACTGTCTGACGGGCATGAGGACCTTGCAAGGTACGCACATACCAAATATAGTTATCCTATTACTTATAATAAGAGAGAATTTAACATTACAAAAAATCTGAACTTTTTTTTCAAGTAGTCACTGAACCATGAAAATGAGGTCAAGGACATTGGACATGTGACTGACGGAAACTTCGTAACATGAGGCATCCATATACAAAGTATGAAGCATCCAGGTCTTCCATCTTCTAAAATATAAAGCTTTTAAGAAGTTAGCTAACGCCGCCGCCGCCGCCGCCGCCGCCGTAGCCGCCGCCGGATCGCTATCCCTATGTCGAGCTTTCTGCGACAAAAGTCGCAGGCTCGACAAAAATGTATCATAAATATCATTACTAAGATAGTATCTAAGAGTTAAACAATTAGAGGTATTCTCAGGTGTGACATCAATAGCAGGCCACAAGATAATACAATTTAGAGCTTGCCACATATTTCTGGGCTATGTTCACTAATTGCAGCTGTATGGTGACCTCTGTTTTGTTTTGATCAAATTTTATTTGTCAGGTTGCTTTCTCATGGATGTTGACCCCACATTTCTTCTTATTCATATCAACATAAAAAGGTTTATGAATTATCTCCCTTTAAATAATTCAAACAGTCTTCAATAAGGTGAATAGTCTAGGTGTTGCTTACAGTTTGTGTTCTTCCATGTTTAGGGCATAAATAGCAGTGGGAAAAGTTAACCAAAATGCACTGGTAATTTGTATGTTTAATTTACATTAAAGAGAAAGTCACTTATTGTACAAAATACACTGGTATCTTTTTGTTCAATTTTTTTCTTTAGAAAACTTACAATAAGTTTAAAAGAAAATGAAATCAGTTTCAATTTAGTTTTTTTTAAACTTTTTTATACCATTTTGAAAGAATGGGTCTCCATATGGAAATCGTGTAAACATCAAAGTGGCGACACTAAGGAAACATTTCTTCACAAAAAATACCACTGTATGTATCAATCTTTCCTGAAATATCACAATATATTTCTAGTGTATCTTTTCACCTCCATTTAATAGTCAAAGTTTAAATCATTACCTGACCAGAAAGGGGGTCTAAACCATATGACAATAAATCTTTGCCACCAATCATAGTTATATCTTCTGTCATCTTAAACGATGAGCTAAGTAATGTTTCTGCAGAAAGGGGAACAGCCTCGATACTCTCTCCATCAAACTGGTACAAACCACCATCAAGAGATGGTATAAGACGTGTTTTCATCCCATTTCTTGTTATCTGGTAATAAAATAACATGAAGGTAAAATATACTCATGCCGTCATGGGGCATTGTATTAGAAATACCAAGTTTTAACGTATTCATTCACAATTCTACATAAAGGGTTTTCAATAAAGAATTCCAATCCATCAGGTTTACATAAATGATCAGTATAATTCATAAATTGTTTTATAATAAATTAAGCTGTTAGTTTACTCAATTGAATTGTTTCATATTTTTCTTGTCAGGGCCATCTATACGGTATTTGTTTTTTTCAATGTTGAAGGTTGACTGTTGCCTATAATTGCTTACATCTATTTCATTTAAACTGTGGTGGATAGTTGTCTTATTAGCAAGCATACCACATCTTTTTTATATGGTAAAATGTCTGATATTGATATTGAATGTCTATTCAGAATGCAGTGACAACCCATAAGATGCCAACTGACATCCGACCTTTTTACATGTAGGTATTTTATACTATAGGAAAGAATTTTGATTTGAACTGACCTCTAAGTTACCGATACTGGATGACAACAATGGTCTGGTATCAGCATCAACACTCCAAAGTATCTTGCCACTATCCTGTACATCTAATGCTGAAACTTTACCATCTAAAGTACTCACTACCATCAGAAATCTACAAGAAGTACAATAAATGATAATATATCCAGATAAAACTTGGTGAATATGTTTTTTATGGTATTATGAACATAATAAGATGATAAGTAAAAAATCGCGAATTTTCCCTTTAAGTAATTAACCTTTATCATATTGAAACATTTGTTCTCTTATACCCACAACAAACTTTACCATCTACAAAATTTACATTTCTTCCTTTAATATTAAATCCTTTTCAATATTTCATGTATTGTCGCAATTGTGAATTGATTAATACCAAATGCCAATTACTGTTGGAATGAAACAAATACAGGGCTATTGTTCTTTAATGCATCTGGTTTACCAGATTTTACAATATTATCTTATACATATTATACAAATTCATTTTTACAGGATCAGGGTAAAAACTACCCTTGAAATACCCATTCCAATCTGGGTTTGTACTTTTAAGTGTATAGGAAGGTTAATATTGAATACTGCCAAGTAAATTTATATGTTTTGGATTTCCTAGTCTGTTTGTGTCTGCCCTCAATCATTTTTTGCAATATATTTAAGTTGAGTATTACAAATGCCTAGGTTCCCCTGTCACTGTGGTATATATTGTCTATGTAAAATACTTAGGAACTTTTACCTGTAGACACATGTAATGTACCTGACTTACCTTATTTTGTAAATAATTTTATCTTAGACCAATATTTTTTATGGCTTTGTCTGACTAAGGTTACACTGCATGAAAAGTTATTTGATCTTATTTTACAAATGTATATCAACATTTTCCTTCCTATTTACAAAGCTCCAATTTTGAAGGACAAATTTCTCATTTTTAAAAATGTTCATGTAAAGTGGTGTATATTTCTATATTTGGTATTATTGAATTTGAAAACATAAATTTTTATTTATCAGGATGTACATGTAAATACTGTTATACAATTACATGTAGGCGGCACACAATGCTTTATGGTATTAAATTTAGATTAAATAAAGTTTTCAGATAAAAAAGTGTGGAGAAAAAATGAATAGATTTTGAAAGAAGTCAGGGGTTTTGATTTATACATGTAAGGTTGCATTTATTATAACATCATTTTGTTATTATTGTCAAATTTCTTTATGAGTTTTATATTACACCAAGTCACCAGAAATAATTTCATTTTTTATTGAAAACAGTTTTAAAAAAAGTCATAAGACACAAGATTCATATTTTAAAAAGAAAACATTTGTGCAATAAACAGCTGCGCCAAGAGCGCATGATAGGCCCGTCACATTTTTTACGAATAAAGTTCAATAACTTCTCAATGTCATATCAGAAATTTGTGAAAAACTAAAGGGAGGTTATCTTAATTGATATAAACCAGTAACCAAAGTTTAATGAAAACTGCTCAAAGCACTTTAAAGGTAGTGTCTGAAAACTAGAAAATCACCCCTTTTTTATGAATAAAATCCCATAACTCTGAAGTGTAAAATCTAAAATTTATTAAAATTGAAAGGGAGCTTACATCAGCAGATATAAACAATTCTCCAAAGTTTCATGAGAACTGCTGAAAGCATTTTTGAGTTGTTGTCCGAAAACTGGAAAATCCCCCTTTTTTATTAATGAATAAAACTCCATAACTCGGAAACATAAAATCTAAAATTCATAAAAATCAAAAGGGAGCTCATATCAATAGATATAAACAATTGACCAACGTTTCTTGCAAATTGGTAAAAGCATTTTTGAGTTATTGTCCGAAAATTGGAAAATCCCCCCTTTTTTAAAGAGTAAAACCCCATAACTCAGAAACGTAAAATCTAAATTTTATAAAAAACGAAAGGGAGCTCACATCAATAGATATGAACAATTCACCAAAGTTTTATGCAAATTGGTTGAAGCATTTTTGAGTTAATGTCCGACATGTTGACGACGGAAGGACTAACAGATGGACGGACAACGGTATACCATAATACGTCCCGTAAACAGGCATATAAAAAACTAACGAATAGTATTATAGGGCATATACATTTGTAACTAAAGTTACATTAGCAGTTTTTCCTTCCATTTTTAACATTGCTTAATAGAAAGTTTTGATTTTTCAACTTTATTTGTTTTGATAATGTACTTTATCTGCATGAAAACTAATTCTTGAAACTTCAAAAAATGAAAAATTAGTTTGGCCATATCTTGATGTTCCCAGTTTATCATATAGATATAACAGATTTTTCATCGTTTTTTAATGTATACATGAAGTACTTTAATTTGTTTTGCTTTAAATAAAAAATTGAAGATTTTTTGCACTGGATATGTACATGTATATCATAATCTAATTTAGGAATACACATTTAACCCTGACACATTCTGTATGTGCCTGTTTCAAGTCAGAAGCCTGTAATTCAATCTAATACAGGCTCAACAGGTCCTAAATATCTGTGACTCATTTCATAAAAAATCTTACAAGAAAGAATACTTGTAAGTCATGAACATTTCCGTATAACTTACGATCAATTTTTGTCGTAAGATTTTTTGTGAAAAGAGCCTCTGCAGTTTAAAAGAAGATATTGATCAATCTTTCTACAAAATATAATTTCCCTTTGTCCCTTTGTAAATTAAGATATTTCAGGTTCTAACTTATTTTTTGGAAGTGCAATCTTAAACTTTGCCGAAATAACAAAGAAGTATCATTAACCATCATTTTCCAGTAAGTACTGTATACATAAATACTCATTAGTCAATTATGTTTCTGTATTATACCAGAGTTATTTCAGTATTTAAATGTTAAATCCAAAACTCTTAATCATGGAATAATGATTATACTGTACACCTTTCAAAAATTAGGCTGTGCTTAAAGCACAAATTGCAGAACTGATATACATGTCTTTCCCCCAAAAAATTGCACTTCCATCAGTGCACTGTACTCATCTACATCTATTCCCATGTTTTACATTTACATGCAAGTCTTTCAAAACCTTATAAAAAGCTTGTAGGTGCTAAACATATTTCTAACAACACTGCAGGTGCTTGACATGTATGCATACTAAAGTAAAGCCAAGGTTTATAAAGCCTTTATTCTGTTGTGGGTGCAACTGTAATCTGTATGCAAATTTTGCTAAACCCGCTTGAACACATGGCTTGAGAACATGGCTTGAGCCTTTTTTCGGCATATAAGCAAAGGTAACATTGTCAATGCTCTGGTTGGAGAAGGAAAAACAAAATTTCTTCTTAAACAGAAAACTTTTATATTTTAAAATACAAACAGTATAAATTAGTCACTATAAATTTCAGTTGCAAAGACTAGTGAGACAAGGGGAGATAATTTTTGTAGCTCGATAGTGTTTTTTTTTTATTATTGTAGATTAACTGAATCTTTTAAATGTCCAATTTTGGCCATTGTTCTCAGTCTTATGATACATTTTGTAAGCATGACAGTCGACAATACCAGCATGTCTGTCAAATATGATTTACTGGGATGATGTTTTCAATTTTTGCAAACAGAAATTCTTACTTATTTAGTACTGATGGAGGTTTTGCCACACATGATGATCTTTGACCAGTAATTTCGGGTTCCCTTGGAAAGTCATAGTATGTTCCAGAATCTGCAGATCTCAAAGTGTCAATATCATCCGCGGCTTTGATGCAACTGATCGTATAAAACAGGGCTCCAACCGACGTAGCAAACCAAATCATACACGAATTCCATCGTTTGCTTCGTCTTCTTCCCATTTACAATACAAAAATCTGATGCATTTATATCTGACGTAAGATAATCTGTTGAAAACAGTCCAAGTGTTTACACCGGAAATGAGATCAGCTAAGTCGACGTGGTCAAAGCGACACTTCCGATTGTCATACGATTGGTTTTCCCCTAATCTATTTATAACCAGCACATGATATCAAAAAGTAACAAACATAGCTAATGCTTGTCTATCAAAGTTACACAATTATGTGTTTCGATTAAAAACAAACATTAATGCAGGACAAACGACATTTCTGAACAACCCTGATAACGGACAACTAATTTTATTTCTTATGAAGCGTTCCTTTTAATACTCATTTCAAGGATTTGTGTAGTAAGATCTTACTATAACGTGACGGTACCCAAATTGCACCTATTTTGGCAGTTTTTTCACCGACGTTTATTTACGATCCAGACAAAAGTTTCCATTCTGTGTTTATTTTGTAGATGTATCCTTTTTTCTACATAGTTACTATTATTTGTCTGTTTGTCTTTTTATTTTTGGCCATGGCGTTGTCAGTTTGTTTTCGATCTATGAGTTTGACTGTCCCTATGGTATCTTTCGTCCCTCTTTTACACCAGTGTCGTCCGAAACTGACATGCAATGTATGCTTGATAAAGCTAGGCCATGAGTGGTGCAAGCGATGGCGTGTTTTGATAAATACAGAGAAATCAAAAGTTATGCGGCATTTTAATTCGTCCGTCTCGATCTAAAAGAAGTGAATTCCAGTTCAAAATCGGTGACAATCTACATCAAATAACTGACACATATAAATACCTCGGTGTAACTTTTCACGACCTAAAGGACTTTAAAGATAATGCAAAAGACTATCGGAAGCTGGAGGTAGAGCTTTAGGAGGGGTCATCTCCAAGATTCATCATCTAAAAGACTTCGGAATGAAAACGTTTGAGAAACTTTTTACTTCGTGTGTAGTACCAGTGCTTGACTTCAGCTCTTCGATCTCGGGATACAAAGACTTCGCTCGCTTGAATCAAATTCAGAACAAAGCAATTCGTTATTTTCTTGGCGTCCATAAATTTGCACCGACATATTGGCAATAAACGGTGAAGTTGGTTGGGTGAACGCAAAGGAACGACGTTGGTGTAATATGACAAGGTATTGGAACAAACTTGTATCAATGGACGAAACTCGTATATGTAAACGCGTCTTCAATTGGGACTACGAAAAATGCACGAACAATTGGTCATCTGAAGTGAAAAACATTATGTCAGTTATAGGATTAGAGAGCAACTTTATTTCAAAAAACACCTGCGATTTAATGATGTGCAAAACATTGCTGAAAGATAAATGCTCCGCAGATTGGCAGAAAGGTTTAACGACCTTTCCGAAACTACGAACATACAGGCTCATAAAATCTGAATGCAGCTGTGAACATTACATTGAACTTAATCTTAACTGTAACGAAAGGTCCATAATAGCACAACTCTGGTGTGGCATTCTTCCACTCAGGTTGGAAACTGGTCGTTTTGTAGGTGAAGACGAAGGTGACCGTTTGTGTAAAATGTGTAGTGACAACTGTGTAGAAAACGAATTTCATTTCCTCATAAACTGTAACTTTTACAACAATCTGCGACTGCAACATTTCTCACAAATAGACAATTTATGTATACTATCAAATGAAGAATAGTTTAAATATTTACTATGTCAACATCCGAGAAAAACAGCTAAATACCTATTGCAAGCTTTCAGTAAGAGAAAAAACCTTTTATATGAAAATTTTCGATAAAATTTATTTATTTTGTTCGTCGTACCATTGACATTAATGTTTAACGTGACTTATAGATCCAAAGGGTCGGGTGTTCTAATTATTGTTTTTTTATATTTCACTATATTATATTTTGTGAAAAACACATGTCACTATAATAAATAATTTACTTACTTACTTACTTACTTACACCAATTTAATTTTGAATCCATATAGAATAAAATGCTTCGCTGAGCGCAGCCTGATACGACCATAGAGGTCGAACCCTGAACAGTTGGGGCAAATTTGGACACAACTTAGCTTGATACTGCCTGAATTTGGATTGTGATCACATTTTTGACATAATATAGGTTTCTGACACAAAATAAATCATCGGTGGTCAAAGATCTTACAAATCTATTGCGCAATACTGTGCAATTGAAGGTTTCTTCTTGAAACTTTTCAAAATTTTGAAAAAAAATATGAACCCCTTAAAAAAATTGGAAAAATAATCCCCCTCCCCCCAAAAAAACTTTTTGAATCCCTCCTTAGAGCAATTACACCCAAACTCAATCCCAGCCTTTCCTTTGTAGTATGGAACCTTGTAGTACAATTTCAGAGAGATCCATTCACTAAATTTTATCATCGGCAATATAAGGACATCATTCGTAAATATAACTCAACATGCAGACATCTTATACGTTCGGGTATTTCACATCCAATCTTTTATGGTAATATTCTTTACAAAGCACAAACATGTCAGTATTCACCTCAAAAGCTAACAAAACCTTTAAACAGACTTATTAAGAAGGGATATAGTTACGATACTGTTGTCAGGTCATTAAAGATTGCTTATTTGGCTTTAATATTGATTCACTTATAGGGTCTTTGCATCGGAATTAAACATATTTATTCTAAAACCAGTTGTTGGCATGACACGGGTTATGTTCTTCTCATATATTTTATGACGGTATAATACTAAACCCCTAACTGGAGGGATTAATTGTGCCTGATATTCATATGATGAAGACATAATCTTTCAATCAGTTTAATTGAGGTCTGGAGCTGGCATGTCAGTAACTGCTAGTAGTCTGTTGTTATTCATGTATTATTGTCATTTTGTTTATTTTCTTTTGTTTCCTATTCTGACATCGGACTCGGACTTCTCTTAAACTGAGTTTTACTGTGCGTACTGTTGTACGTTTGTTTTTTCTACATTGGCTAGAGGTATAGGGGGAGGGTTGAGATCTCAAAAAAACATGTTTAACCCCGCCGCATTTTTGCGCCTGTTACAAGTCAAGAGCCTCTGGCCTTTGTTAGTCTTGTATCATTTTTAATTTTAGTTTCTTGTGTATAATTTGGAGTTTAGTATGACGTCCATTATTACTGAACTAGCATACATATTTGTTTAGGGGCCAGCTGAAGGACGCCTCCGGGTGCGGGAGTTTATCGCTGCATTGAAGACCCATTGGTGGCCTTCGGCTGTTGTCTGCTCTATGGTCGGGTTGTTGTCTCTTTGACACATTCCCCATTTCCATTCTCAATTTTACTTAAACACAAGTTGTTATCTGGAAACTAGAAAAATGTTTGTTTTTGGTCCTTTTTTGGCCCCTTATTCCTCCATTTTTTTGGGGCAATTACCCCCAAACTCAATCCCAGACTTTCCTTTGTAATATGGAACCTTGTGGTACAATGTCAGAGTGATCCATACACTCACACACAAGTTATTGTCCGGAAACTACAAAAATGCTTGTTTTTGGCCCCTTTTTGGCCCTTAATTCCTAAACTGTTGGTACCATAACCCCCAAAATAAATCCCAACCTTCTACTTGTGGTATTAAACATTGTGGTACAATTTCAGAGCAATCAAAATACTTATACAAGTTATTATCCTGAAACTAGTAAAATGCTTGTTTTGGGCCCCTTTTTGGCCTCTAATTCCTATTAGTTGTGACCATCACCCTCAAAATCAATCCCAACCTTCCTTTTGTGGTATTGAACCTTCTTTAAAAATTTAATAGGGATCTATTCACTTAAACTAAAGTTATTGTCCGGAAACCAAATGCGTCTTCGGACGATGACACAGACGACGACGACATCATACCATTATACGATCCAAAAAAAAATTTTGCGGTCGTATAAAAATGGGTTTGAACCGACCACCAAACGATCCATGATTCTGTAATGAGGAGTACCCAAATTGCATCCATGCTTAAATGCTTAAAAATCGAATAACAGACGTTTTGTTTTATTTCTTCAAATATTTAGAACAATTTGACATTAGTCCATGCTTAGTATTCATTTTTTAAGAAATGGATGCTTGTAACATATTTTGTTTGCTCATTTTTAAAAGATGACTTTTTGTGGAAGTCGCATGGCGACGTTTCCGTAGATTTTACTTTTTCAAGTGTATACTTCATCTGTTGATATATACTGTGAAAGTTTTGTGTATATTTAAATATATTTATACCTATGTTGAAAGACGTGTATAATGTCAAATCATAAAAATACTTAATTTCAAAGAAAACTTATAAGATTTCCGCTGATATTTTTGCTGAATAGGTGCAATTTGGGTAGTCCTACTCGGTGCAATTTGGGTAGTGACGTTACAAATCCTTGCATGCTCATTTTAATATCAGGATGAACAATTGAAAAAGAACTTCCACTACACATTTTTTAGCTTTGTTAACTTTTTTGGAATCTTTGCAAACAAAATTTTTTTTTAGCCAAAATTAAAAATTTTTGTAATTCTGCTGATTTTTTTTTTTTTTTTTTTTGGTAATTTTGCAATTTTTGTTTGTAAATCTGGCAACATTTATATTTTTTGGAAGTTTTGTCAAAATTTTATCTCATACTGGTGTAGATAGTTGAACAAGGGTAGACTGTTATTTAGTTCGATCTGTGTCTCCTACTTCTGACATTTCACAAATTGTTCCAGTTCTACTTAAATTTAATGGCGAGCATGTTCCTCTTTTAAGGTGTCGTCATGGAAAATTGCGAGGTGCATTTTCTTAATTGATGGTTCAGGATCTCGGAGACATTCCTTCTGATGATACAAAATAATAATCCAACTATTCCTTCAATGCATAACTACAACGATGCCATGACTGAGAAGGATATAGAGGATATTTGTGAACATATCTTCAATTTCATTGTATGCATTGTTTAACTGTTGATAAGTAGAGACATTTTCTGTGAATGGCATTTTTAACTGGTCTAGATCTGTGTTGAATTTATCTACATCAAAATTTCTATAACTTCGATATGAAATTTTTTGCTGTTTTGGGGCATGAACTTTACCCTTGTTTGTAACTGATAAAAGATTATGACAAGCACTATTACCTGTAGATAAATTATGAGTGTTAAAACACCTATTTACCTTGT